AGAGAGAGAGAGAGAGAGAAAAGAGAGAGAGAGAGAGTAATGGAGAGATCGTGTGTTCTAGCAAGTACGTGTTCAATTTGGTAGTTCCAGTACCTGTGCAGTTTTGCAAGGAGTGGCAGAGCGCGCAAACGAGGGACGAGAGAGAGGGAGAGAGGAAACGAGGGAGATGGATGGATGACGGCGACGTACAAAGACGCTTCAGGGGTGACGAGAGCGTGCGAAGGGGGTGGAGGCGGGTGGCGAGGGGATCTGCCTGCCTGATGGAGCTTGAAACTGAATTAACCATCCCCGCCCGGGGCCCGTGATCTCGTCGCAACCTCATCTCGGCGACCATTATATTTGTCTTTGTATGCTAAACATTTTGTGGAATTATACGAGACAGGTTTCGAAGAGTCGTCTCTCCCTCTACTCTTTCTCTTTCTCTCTCTCTCTCTTTCACTCCTCCTTTCTCTCCCAACCCTCCCCTCATCCTATTTCTGCAGCGTGATCGAGAAACGATAACGATTACAGGGCATTCCTCCCTTGTGCAAGATTACTTTCCAGGCGAAAAGCGATCAGCGAAATACCCGTCAGTTTTCCATACACTTTTTTTTTTATGCACGTCAAAAGAACTCGCGGACAATGAGCAGAACTGCACTCGCGTCCCAAGTTCTCGAAATATTAAGTCCTGATTAAAAACAAATATATTTAAGATTTATCGAAGTATTATTATAATATTATTATAAGGTTTCTTGTAATTTTTTGTATTATTATAATATTATTATAATATTACCCATAATATTTCTTATAATTTGAAAAAATTTCGATATCTTTAGATAAAAACTTAATCTTTCGAGATCTGTATAAGATTGTATTTATTTATTTGCTACAAATTTTGCATTTCTGTGCAAAGTCGAAAAATAAATAAAAGCAGAATCTTTTTGATACTCTTCGATAAAAGTTAATTGAGTCTATAAATAATTTTTTATCATGTGATCAAAAAAGATTTAACATCAAATCAGTCAAAGGATTCATAAATGGAAGAAATAGCGGAAAATTCGAAATACTTTGCAAATAACACGTCATTTCACGCGATCAACAAAAGCTTCCTTCTCAGCTCATCGACGTACTTCTTCGTCGGTGTCATGCTGTCTGTGCTGTCATAAATCGATAAGTGGATAAGATAATTTTTCACACATATTGTTACCTATAATGATACTGTGATGTCTGTGATATCTTGCCGCTAGTTGTCAACTTTCTCTGTTCATTCCATTGAAACGATACTTTTAAATTAATCATAAGTATATTGCCAGATAAATCCTTTCCAAAATTATACTTTAGAAATTGAAGTCTATATCTTTCAGTTAGCACTAAATATGATCTTTCTAATTTTTGAATTTTGTTTGTCTTATGTAAAAATATAATTATCTTACTCTGAGCCTCAAGTATTTAATGCTAAATGTCGGATATGAAGACAGGGATTTAAATGATAAAAATTAAAAAAATAGATATTACGCGCCGTTATCTCAATAAAAATTTTCTTAACTCCAACATATCGCTTCAACAATTTTTGACGATGTGTAAGACGCGTATAATAATATAACGCGTATAATAAGACGCGTATAATAAGATGACAATATTGCGAGTATAAAAATCAACCTGCTTTAATAATCAAGCAGGTTTTCCATTTGTTTATTCTCATTAATATAGCTTAGGAGGATTCATCGCAAGAATTCATCTTCTTTGACGTTGATGTAAATTCGTGGCGAATGTATCGGTAGCATCGATATCCCAAATATCATGCTGTGCCGCAGCATCGTTAACGTATAATGAGATTACCAGACCATTCGTCGGAAGGAGTACTGGACGAAGACAAGGAAGATGGATTATGCTGTTAAGAATAAAACAAATGTTCCAATTAGTTAGCGCTATACGACAAAATAATGTGGCCTTATACAAATTCATCATTAATACCAAATTTGAAAAAAGAAAAACACGCAATTAACACAAAATTTTCAACAAAATTAAAAATAAATCTATTTTCTTCACTTTTTCAAATAGCGAAATATTCAGAAAAGCGAATATATTCAGATTTTTCATTTTAACGATATTATAAAAAATATTAAAAATAAAGCACGATCCTATTCGAGTAGGATATAATTTCCATCATTTCACAAAATGTGCCAGTGACGCCATATTGTTTATATAGTAATGGTACGCGATATGTAATCTTTGTCTACAGTAGGGGTAGTTTAACGCGTCGACTCTGTGGTTGGCTCGCATGAAAACTTGTGTGAGTCGATTACCCGATACACCATGCTGGAAATATGCACGGAAATATTCACTGCAATGGAGTTTGTAATAATAAAATTGTCTCGATTCACGTTCATATGTTACGTGCGGCCTTATGGCTCTCGCATATGAAAAACTATCGTTTATTCACTAAAGCACGTTCCTTTCGTTTATACAATCCTATCATAATAAAAAAATGATCTATAATGCTAAAATACATTTGTTTAAACATCATTTCTAGATTTAGTGAATTCGTAGTGACAAGATGTGAAACAAATGGCTTTACAATTTTTCTTGATAGCTATCCGTATAGAAATTTAAAAATAGCCCAATATTAGACAAATATTATATTAACTATACATGGAAAAAAATAGATATGCTAGATATGCTATTGATCTGAAAAATAATTTTTTTTTATCAAAATAATTACGTAATATTCAAATTAGTTATCAGAATATAATAAAGTTTGCAGTATTATCATCATATTTAAACATTCTACATAAAAATTTTGATAATGCAACAAAATTATTTTTTTTATGTATCAGTACTTGCTATATGGATTTTTGGATCGGAATAAAGTACAGTAGTGTAATACTATTCGGTAGTAATAAAAGTTAATACTATTATTGATACAGTTCAAAATGGATATTAATTCGATTCTTAATCAATAATGGCGCAACATTGTCTGCCAATGTTTGCCTATTATTGAGTCAATATTGAACTAATTTAATAATATCGGCAATTTTTATTGTATAATAGGCATATATATTGTAGACCTAAAATATATATTGTACATCAAATGTACTAAAGATGCAGTGAAATGCTACGAGAAAACATAAAGCTCATATAATAAGAAATTTAACTTCCATACAATTTTTACTGCACTGAATTTTTACTCTTACTGAATGTGAGGATACGGCTTTAATGTAAAAATTATTATTATTAGTGGTTTAAAATAATATATAGAAGTCGATGAACACATTCCAATAACATCAGAAAGAACGTGATAGTTTCCATTGTAATTATATGACTCGACTTTTGACCCTTTTGATCTCGCTTTTTTAAGGAATTTTATGTTCAGATCATAATTTATGACCCATATTACCTCTAAATAAATTAGAGAAACTAGAGAAATTATTACTTTTTCTTGTAATGAAACATATATATAATCAAATAAAATTTCAAAAAACTTCATAAAACTTCAAGAAGAATTTATTTACTTTTCTTTTAACTCAATTTCCGTTGCAAGGTTTTCCTTCGCTATTTTCTTGACGTAGAATGATTTATTACCCGAAAGAAGAAACAAAGACCGGTAGTCGGGTGGCATGTTTCTTCTCAAGTTTCAGAGTTGCAAAAGACCGTTCATCATCGTTTACAGCCCGGTACAAGCCCGAACTTAACGAACTTAACACGGGATTACGGGTAAATTTTGCAAACTAACCAATACCTGTGCGTGTACGTGTATACGTTACGTGTGACATACACGTGTCCTCTCGACGTATTCCATCTCTCATCGACAGCAAACATTTCCAAGTTCTGCCGTCGTAACGGCGAATATCCTCTCTTCCTTCCCCTCTTCTCCGACACATCTTGCGGACGACGTGTAGCGACGACGGCGGCGGTGACGGCGGGAGAACACGAGTTGTCCACGGGTGGGTAGCGTCGCGACGCCCCACGGGGTCACCCCAACCCGGAAGCTCCGCCCCTGTGAAGTTGCCACCAACCGGAGTATCCAACGTACGGGACACGGTAGGAGGAGCCACCGTGTCGTGTCGTTGGCGTCAGGTAAACGGCGATCCTGGGACCAGCCGTGGCACTCCGGCATTTAGTATCGCGTTGACTTTCGAATAAATATCTTCTTGCTCCTTTTTTTTCGAAGTCTCCCGCGCACACTCTCTCTCTCTC